AAAAAACGACAATCTTTAGACATCAGCCAACTGTTCTGGAAACACCACATCTCCCAGAACCTTAATATAACCACTGTCATCGCAAGAAATCATGTTACGTTGTTGTTGAACTAGAGCCTCAACTTATAAGGACGGAAATCCGTACATCGTTGTGTGAAACACATAGGGGTCGTACTTTTTCTCTGGGAGGGGGGGTCGTATGTGCCTTTGAGAGAAATTTGTCGCGTTGGTTTTCCGGTTGTTGACTTTTTGCGTGATTTTTCCTGTTTCATGTGCACTATATACCCCCCCCCCTCCCGGCTCGACAGCAAAATTTTAGGGGAAAGTAGAAAAACTTTTGGGAAATTTGGAAAAAGTGGTAGAAAGTTGAGGAACATTCTCCCTTTTCACACTGGCTATATACCCTCCGCTCGACAGAAAATTTTTGGGTGAAAGAACTTGAAGATGGGGTAATCTGTAGGTGGGTGCTGAGGAAGGGGGGAGTCCTACCGAGACCCTCATTTAGGTGGGGGAGTCGTACTGACACCCTCTCTCGGAGGAGGAGGGGTCGTACCTACACAACCACCTCACACATCACGATGCTGTACCTTGTCCCGGCAACATGGCGTTGCAACCAGAGCACGTCCTGCCGTTGAAAAACATTTTTGCAGAATACGAGACTCCCTCGCAAATCAGAGCCCACATACACTTGTCTGTTCCCTCCTCAGTTTAAGGAGACAACGATTCTTATACAAACTGTCACCAAATGGTCCCAATGGACGCAGTTCGGCCCAGTGGGAGCATGTGCTGGTTCTCGTCAATCATTGTCGATGCTTCACACAGAGAACTGTCAACTGTTAGGAAGCTATGCAATAGCACGAGCTTCCTCTCACATGACAAATCTTCAATCGTCTCAACAAGGTGGGACGTGCAATTCAACAGGATCTATATCAAAAGAAACTAGCGCAAGCGCAAAATGAATACCACGTTGCATCCTCACGACGGGGTAAAATTCGGAAAACCCGACTCTCATTTTGATTAGAAATTCTCTCATCGTAATGAACGGTGTGCCCCTATAATTTTTATTTTATTTAATTTTGTCTTTGATTTTGGTTAGATTATTGAAGTGAGTGAAAGCAGGACAGAACGTCGGAACCCATGACCTTGGTAGCTAAGAGCTGATGTATGCCGCCCTTAGGACTCACATTACGTCTTATGCGGCAGCACGTCTCCAACACCCAGCGTATTCCCAAAAAAGTCGCATAAACAGGTCAGAAACAGGCGGACGCAACAAGCAGGAACCCACGATATACGACTGTCACCACAGCACAATAGACCTGACGACGCATCATCAACTCGGGAAGATCAGGGAGAAAATGATACGGATAAATTTGAAAGGCTGAATTGAATCTTGTTGCCGAATGATACCCATTCATATAAAAACATTTGCTTCGACACAGTAACATGGTACAACCAGTTCCCTCAGCTTTGCGGAGCGAGCTCAAGTTCTATACGATTATGAAGCTGAATTCAACTGGTACTGCTGATTCACGGTACTTCTCTCGTAGACAACCAACAACGACGCCTTCCAGCATTTTTTGTGCATATTGTGGCATCTTCAGCTTCTTCAGTTCATCCAAGCAACTGAAATATTGGCTTAGGTAGATTCGAACATTGCTTCAGGAAAAGACTAAAATGCTAGGCTATAGCAGTCCAGAAAATTATTCAAGTTAAAAAAGCCACCCAAAAACTTTCAAATCCCTATTTCGACAGTTCCACCCATTTGAGAATAATGGTGAATCATAACGCTGTCCTCTCAATATACACATCAGCATGTGTGTGGGAACACTTGTTTTTGCATTTCAAATCGTTAGCTCTGTTCGGCTTGAGGGCGGGGTGGGGGGGGCATTTTGCTGGTTTGTATCGATCAGTGCCAGTGCCTACTATGGAAACCTGTCAATTCTTGAGAAGCTATGCAGCAGCATGAGCTTCACAAGAATTAACAGGTTCACAGCTGACAAGAGTTTACACGTTTTGTAATTCAACAGAAACTAGCAAAGGAACCCTGCAAAGGGGAAAAATCCCCCTTTTCTCCCTCTTCTAAGCCAAACAGCGCAAAATCATTTTCAGATTTCAACCACTTTTCCTGCCAATCAACCAGTGCAACAACTAACCATAAAACCATTCAATTATCGACTTAATCCAAACAAGGAAGTCAAGCCCAATTAGTTTAACCCGGCGTTTTATCATGAAATGTTTCAGATCATTCAATCACCCTTGGGTATATATCTGAGTGATCCTCGCATGATCTGAGTTCAATCTACCTCATAAAAACCGAGTTGGCATAGAGCCAAACGACGGTAACCCATGAGGACGAACAGGCACAAGGCCAACTTATCAATAAGAGTGACCAGGCGCGCCTGTTATCGCAACGTATCTTTCACGGGCCTAGTTTTCGAGAGTAGCGCACTTGGAACACGACCTTTCCTACACCTTCGGGACAAACCCCACATAGCATCATACCTGCATGAATAAAGTATCAAAGCTGAATATAAGGTGTACAAAGTACTGTGAAGTACTAGTTTACAGTTACTGCAGAGTAGTTACCATATAAACACGCATGGGGCATCTGCTCAATCGGGCATCATTTTTCGATAAGAAATGAACTACTGTTCCTGAAAAAAGACAGAACTACAATGCAATACAACTCACTAGGTTTCGGCTTCGGTTTTACATGCCAAAAGTAATCCTGGCCGCAGACGAATATCTCGGGCAGATTCTCGCATACGCTCCTGAAAACATTAAGAAGTTCAGTTCTGGTTAAAAAATCCACTTTTGCTCTTTCTTGGTATGCGATTAAGATAACCGTAACAATGCGCGCTCGGCGTAGCGAGGGAAGTATTGTCCTACACGATCACTGGAAGCTAATTGGTAGAATCACGGAGAAGAACGATACCACTTGTAATGGAGCCTTGCCCACGCTTGACTTCCCTGAGTTAGGCTGCTCCAATCGATAAACTGGTGCACCATCTTCCTTTGGAATCAGGGAACGTCCTGCCGCTGGAGAGAATTCTCGAAAAATACGACCCTTCTCAATTTCGTTCTCTGCTACGCTCCTCCCCCTCCCTTTACCACATTTTCCGAAGTTCCCCAAGAATTTTTCATTCAGTTTTTCCCCTAAAATTTTGTCGTCGATGGGGGAAGGGGGAGGTCGTCCACCAACAAATCACTACTGGTAGTTGGTACTAATACCTCAGTAGTTGGTACTGCTATTTCCAATACTAGTACTTATACCTAGGACGAGCCTTGCTTGGAATACCAGCCAGCCAGGGCCAAAGAAATCTTACTTCTGAGATTTTATCAAGGCTTCGTCTCCTAGAGCGCTGAAAACAGTTTCCTGGCTTCTGCCACAAACTCCAGCACCACGGAGAGTTTGGCTTCGGCGCCATTATCAGCAGTTTTCACGTAATCTAGCGAGATATTCTTAGGGGTCAAAGTACCTACAGCGTACAAAATTTTAATGAAATTGGTGCTTTGAATGTGTTTTAACGAGGGCGTCAGGCGGTTTCTAGTCAACCAGAAGCGATATTCATGTTCAAGGGTTCAGCTGCTCCAAAAAAGGATTTCCGGTTAAATCCAATTAAGGGGAGATTTTTGTTCCAAATCTCTGGAACTTCGAAGTTTGGGGCAGGTGTGTGTGAGTGGCGCGGGTAGGGATGTGGAGGGGGGTGGGGGCAAGGGATTGTTGTAGTGGCGAACGGCGCCACCTACCTTGCGCGCAGTACCGAGTTCAAATCTTGGAATTGTTTCCACGCGGATCAACCGGAACCTTCATCATGCCGGATTGATCAGATATGCATACACGATAAAAACATCTATACTCGAAATCCCTGAGATCGGGTAGGCGTGGCTGCATGCTTCAACTTAACCTGAAGGTGTCTATGCTTCTGGTGAGATATTTTCTTGACACAATTGTTGTCGTGTCTCTGTCCAACACAGAACAAGATGACAGTTGTCCCAGACTGGAATATTCCACGAGTAACCAGTTCCGTGCCATGTTCAAATGCCACGCCTACTCTGGCTCAGGGATAAGGAGTGTATATACAGGGTTTTTCTTCTTCGCTGTCATCAACTAGATATTCGAGTGAATGTTATGAGGTGTGGTGACGCCAGTCCTGAGTGTTCCACTGTTATCGGATAGCCTTTACTATTTTGTAACTCTGCTACTACTAGATTTCGTACTATGATTCCGGGGACATATGGCAGGTCTATTTTCAAAAGATTTTGGAGTTCGGATGTAGGCCGGGAGATTCACGCTCAGGATCACGGC